GGAAGCAATGTCATCCTTTGGTCTACTTATTTAATTGTAGCCAAATTCTCTTATTAGCCCCACATCATGCTGGAATTCGGCAGTTTTGACAGGCTTCTTAAGGCAGTGACATGCATGCTGTCATGTTGGCTCGAAAATGGGAAAATAATAAAGCTTGTATTGCATTGAAACGACCAAAACGCCAGCTAGTAGGAGCCCATGACTAACCATCTATCCACCTGCGGATGCTCCCATTTGTTCGCCCATACACACCCTGCTCGTTTGTCATTGTATCGTGTGATTAGCTTGTCCTCATGGATGTGTGCCTGTCTATCCATCTGTCCCATCCACCCATCGCTCCATTGGGCCTGAGATTTCGTGTGCTTGTGTGAATCATACTTCGCTTGTGCTTTCGCTTGTCGAAACTGTACCGAAGCGGGAAAGAGTAGAGCTGGAGGAATTATGCCATCTGCGGTAGGTCTTTGACGAGTTGTGCACACTTCGGCCGACAAGAGGGGGCCAGAAGTGAAATCAATACGCGGCTGTTGGTACAGAAAAGGCTGACGCTGTGGTCAGGAGGTCAGTCAGACGACCTGGCCACAACCACGCCTCTGTGTGGCAGTCGGTGTGGCCACACAGTGTCCCCACTTCAGCTGTACCGCCGTCCCGACGGTCTCTACAGCCGAGACTTGTCTGCATCTATCGGTAGGCCGGGGTACATGTTAGCACCGCAAGAGAAGCTCAAGCAAGCACAAGTTTGGCTCAAAGCAGAGGTTGGTCGTCGCTCTGTCAACTGGTCACATTTCGTATGTCTCGCATTCCCAGACGAGGTGATGACGGCCCTTGTGATCGGCTTCCACCGGTAGCATGCATCACACACGTCATGTCATTTCATTAACAATTATCCTGGCCCGGTTCACAGCTTGGCCGGAGGCATGGACGATGCAATAAATCATCAGCTAATCCTTCATGCTACAGAAATTGGCACATTTTCGCAAAAATTCTTCTACACCCTTTTAACCTTGGTCGTCAGATCTTGCCAAAAAAGCCGATTCACTCAAAGCAAATTAGAAGTCCTGACATTCATTTCGGGGCTGGGTCTTGGACCTGGGTCGTTTATGCCTCGGTGGGCTCTCCAGTTAATTCTAAATAAAGGTCTCCTGATCAACGACTTTCATTATGATCTAATTATCGAGGCTGTTGGGTAGTCCCGGTCACTAGGAGGAGTTAGGTCCTTGAATTAAAGTCG